GTTTTTCGTTCATAACCAGCAAGAAGTGAGGAACTTCTGTTTTGCAATTTTTCTTCAATAACAGGATCCTTATCTTCAGAATTCTCTTCTAGAAGTCACAATAATACATTCTGAGGGCTGGGTAAATGGTTCAGTCAATACAACATGTGCCATACGAGCATGAGAACCTGAGTTCAGACCTCCAGTACCCATGTCACAAAAAGCTGGCTTTAGTAGCCAAGGCTAGAGCCCGCACTGGAGGCACAGACACAAGCAGGTCCTTGGAGTTCATTAGCCAGCTAGTGTAAAAGAATCCAGGACTTCCAGGTTCAGAGAGAGACCCTGTCTCGACAAATAAGGTAGCAAGTGATTGAGGAAGCCAGTCAACATCAATCTCTGACCTCCACATGCACACCTGCCCACACCTGTGTGCACACAGCACATGCACGTGTGCACACAAACATACATGCTCGCCAATAAAAATGATATGCTAGACTCTAGAGTCCTAGCTTCTGTCAGTGGGAGGGACCAGACGGGCGGTTCTGAAGGTTTCAAGATCCACTTAATTCCTATAAAAAGGACATGCGCCAACAATGCGCTATTATTCCCATTTCCCCCCTTTACTTAGCAGATGTTAATCGGAGGTAGATGGAGGACGCAAATCTTCAGTTTTAGACAGAAGGGGACAGGACCTGAGACTAAGGAGGAGGCCATTTGTAGGACGGGAGGAGAGAGGAGCGAGGACCGCCTTTCCCGCCTTCCCCTTGGGCCTTGTGGTAGGTGTTCCTCTGAACCCTGTGAGGATCACAGGGCTGGTTCCTCCAGTTTGCCTGCAAGCCTCTGCTCTGCGCCTGAGTCCCTTTTCCTACTCGTTGTGCTTCGTCATCAAAACTGGAAAAAACCACACTAAGCCCTTTGTCCCACGCATCTGACGACTGATTCCTACGGTTACTGGTTACTGGGTGAAGGTTTTCTCCGCAGTTCTCAAAAGAATCAGACAGGTGAGGACCTTAGGTGGATGAGGGTGGGGATGCAGTTTCCCCAACTCCGCCTACAGGCATGGCCGCTCCCCACCCCCAACAACCACAGCTCTCCGAACAATGGGATGCAGAAGAATTCAAAATGAATAGCAGATAGCCTTTCTTTGGGACCTCTGATCCAATTCTCTTAAATCCACCCTGCTTTCTTTAGAGAGCACAGGCATTTGCTCCTGGGCCTATGTTCGTGGTTGCTAACATGAGTATAATTGAAAGGATTAGTGATATCGTTGCCTCTTTGTTTTGTTTAAAAAAAAAAAAGATTCCATTTCCTAGTTTAACTTGCTTGGAGAATATGAAAAACCTGCAATCCGGGTTTTTATCAATGAAGGTTCGTGTTTTCTCAATCTTTGAAGGAATCTTTGAAGGAAGAGCTCTTTGCTCTTTGAAACAAGATGATCCATTCCCATTGAAGGTTTCTCATTGTGAAGTCCAATGTCAAGGGAAAAGTTAATGGGTGAATTACAAGTGCTCACCACAATGGGACCGGATTTCTATAAGACAGAGAAAGGAGGCGGAATGAAGCCAGCTGTTGCTTCTCTATAAAAACACGGAACTAATGACGGTCCCTCTGCAACTAGGGAGGTCTTTCTGCTCTGTTCAGCGTTGTCATAACTGCTCTGTCTTCCTTTGGCCAAATCTCTCCTGTGCTGCTGCTTTAGGACAACAGAGAAGGCCAGAAATACTACTGCAGGAGCATGCTCACCTTATCCATTTCAGGGAGGTATGCGAGATTAAATTTGCTCTTCTCTTGGATTGGTTCATTGAGCACCAGTGGTCAGGGTAAGTTAGTTCAAGCTCATCTTGTGGTCATAGATAGCCCCATGCTGCCTGGGTTGTTCCGAAGGAGTGAGGGATGCACGTGGACCCAATGCTACTGCTAAACTAACATTGGCTGGTGGGTGTAACTAGTATCCAAAATGTAGCTGATGGGACAAGACACTTGCATCTACCAGAGGAGCTGACATTTCTTTACACCATGGTGAGGGGCTCATGTGACTCTTTATGAGAGATGAGGAAGTAGCTCCTATGTGAGGTGCTCTAATCAAGGTTTGGAGTCGTGCTGGAGAGATGTCAGGCTATGGCTATGGTCATCAACAGTGGTCCCAGTGAATGGCTGTCACACTTCAGGCTACTCAGTTGGGCATCATATTAGTACATTTTCTTGTAACTGTGACCACATACCTGACAAAGAAACTTGAGGAAGGAAATGGTTAGATACACCCCACAATGGTGGAGGAGGCATGGCAGCCAATCCAGCTCCTGTCCCTGGCCTTAAAAGGCTGCTGGCTCTTAGAAGACCAGAAAGGAGAGAGGAACACTTGCTCTGTCTTGGCTTTCTCCTTTGCCCCCTTTTTATTCAGGCTAGGACAATGACAACAGCCCATGAGACAGTGCCACACTCACAGTAGGCCGTCCCCGATGAGTTAACCCTCTCTGGAAATACTGTCATCGATGCACCCCAAGGGTGGCTTACTAATGTGCTGGGTGTTTGTTAACACTTGAACATAGTCAAAAGGCTGAGAATTGACGAGTTTCTTAGCCAATCAAGTTGATAATAAAAAATTAATCGTCCAGGTAAGCATAGAGTTACATGACTATAATCCTGGCACTTGGGGGTGGGGGAAGGAGGATCAGAAGTTCAAGGCTATCCTTAGCCAATAGGGACTTTGAAGCCAGCCTGGGCTACATGAAATGCCGGGAAATAACCATCACACATACTGCCCCACCCCTTCACATCGCTAGCTCCTGGACGAACCTGGACTCTGCATTATCCCCCAACATCAAGAGAAGTGAGCAGATGGCCTGTGGCATTTTACTTTTTAGCAGGAAGTCAATTTGCCTCCTAGCATTGGGGAGTCCCCGAGCACAGGAAGAGGGCACCCCCCCCACAGGAACAGATGATGTTCTCATACTAGAGGAGAGGGGCTCAGCACAGTACCCTGGGCCATAGATACCAATCTTTGCTCGCTATACTATGCTGACATACCACGAGGTGTTGCCAGGAATTTGGGTTGACTGGAGAGATGAGCAACTTTTAACCCGTGTTCACTTTCTTGAGCCCTGGTTCTTCTGCTGAACCCGCTGTAAGGTGGCCATATGACAGTCACACTCTCTGATGTGACAGATAATGAGGTTCTTTGCCACCCTGCCACCCACCAGACGCGGGGCTCTTTCTGACCCCCACAACGTCATAATTTGCATGCTCTAAAAGAAGTGAGGAAATAATGTATTTAAATCCTGTGGTCTCCATGAAGTCAGAGGAAAAAGCAACCCGCCAACCCCCCCAGCATTTTAATGTGAACATCGCAAACCCTGTACTCAGAGTGGCAAGTGGTATAATCTATAGTGCTATTTGACAGGATGCTTCTTCCTAGTTGCTTCTCACCAGAGGGGAAGGCTTGGAGCAGCATGGCTAGAAAAACCATCCATTTTCTGTGAAATAAGGAAAGCGCTGGGGGCCTAAATAGTAAGGTTATCAAATATCTTACACACAAACAGCTACCTTAAATGGACCGCCACACAAGCAAGGGTTTTCTCCTGATGGTAATGTTTGCTATTTTAATGTACAATATGGCACTTTGCAGACACAGGAAGCTCAATGAATTTTCCTTGGTGGTGATAACAGCTGGAGCTAACATAAATTGTCTCTTATTTTGGTAACAAAAGGCTTGGCATTTATTATTTTCGTGGAAGCCATAGAGGTATTTTTAAAATAGTACACTAAAAACGTGGGTGAAGTGTTAGGCTTACTGGACACCATTACCGATTTTGATGCACTCAAAATAAGATTATTATTATTATTATTCACTAAAACACAGTTTGTGCATTCCACTCACCCAACTTCCTGTAATGTCAATGGCTCAAATGTCATAGATTAATCTAAACTAAGGATTAATGGTTGGTAAAAAACCAATTAAGTAAACTGCAGGCTTTGTTTGGATTTCCTACCTTTTCATCTCAGAGACACCAATATCAATTCGAACTGCGGGGTCTCTAAAACTTCAGTAGCAAAACGACATTAATTCAGACTGATTGGGGTTAGATACAAGATGGCGTGGAAAGGTCACAATACCTAGCCTTTTCTGTGCCAAATGCTTAATGCTCCCAGGGTGGGGGAGACACTGGATGTTATCCTATTCGTGTTATACATGATACAGTCAGCCTTAGGAGGAGAAACAATTGTTGTATGGCTGCTCTTTGAGGGGCTAGATATGCGCTAAGGTCTTCCCCTGTCTCTCCAGATCTCTCCATCCCTTCCCCACCCCTCTCTGCATGCATGTGCACGCATGTGCATGTGGAGGTGAGAGGTCAACACTGCCCACCTTACTTGGGCTAAGATCTTTCTTATTCCAAGGTCCTGGACCATGGTCACAGTGGTATAAACTGGGACATTCGGTCTGGGTGTGAAACATTGAGCCAAACCTGCCCACAGCTCCTCTTCCAAAGGTCGCATGGATCAGCTATGGCAGCTAACCTCAATGGGGAGGTTGATCATCCTAAACTAGTAATGAGCGGGGTTTTTTGTAGCATCTAGACACGTATTGACTCTGCAGAGAACACAGAAGCTTCATCTGGGTGAGGGAGGAGCTGGGTCAGGGGGGGCAGCCGGCTCTCCTGTCAGAGCATGGAGAAGCATGTTGCAAACATCCCCACTGCCTTTGGCTTTCCTTTCCTGAGTGTTTTAAGGCTTAATTAATGCGTGTAAAGTGATCTGAAACATGGGAATGAAAAGAGCCAGGGACCCACAGAGTGCCAATGATTACCTGAGGCCAGACAGCTGTAAAAGGGAACCAGAGGGGGCCTAGAGAGGCTGGGAGAGGGCTCTGCTTAGCAGCCAGCTGGCTGGCCCCATGCCACCTTGGACTGTTTTTGGCAGGGTTCGGCCCCATGCCATCCTCTCAAGGCTGACAAAGCAGCTATACTCAGGAGAAATCATTCTCTCGGGACCTCAGCTGGAGCTGAAGAACCAATGTGAAGACGCAAACTGGCCATTTTCCGGAGTCGACCCTATAGTGGAAGAGATGAGACAATACTTACCCATCTCTCTTGTCAAAGCAAGACAACTGCAGATTCCTACATTTTGGGGCCATGAAGGGATGCACGCAGAAACATCAAAGAGATGAATGAGTCACCGCTTTCCTCTTGACAGGAGGCACAGTGACAGTCCCATCACCCGTGGGAGGCAGTGAATCTCTTTAAAATGGTGGGTGGAAATAATGAGGTCCAGGGCCCACGCTGTTGCCCCATCTCCTTAGAGAGTTATTAAAAGGATACGGCTATCAGTTTCATGGAGGATGTTAAGAAGTGGCACCTCATTGTGACTCAAAGCATCCGGAGAAGCAAGTGGCGACTCTTTCCTCCATTCTAAACTGATTCCTACCAGTATCTACCAAGTTTGAGAAGCATCCAACACAGAGCCCCAGCACATGCCTGTGTACATAAACGGGGGCTATTTATACAGAGGAACCCAAACTGTTGTGATGATGGATTTGGCAAAAAGGGTTGCTGGGGTAATCCAAAGTCTATGTTGGGTCTTCATCATGTTTCCGAGTCCTGCTTGGGCTAACTGTTGGGGTGTTATCCATCTCCAGAACCCACAATAGGAGGATGTGGGTTTAGTGATCGGGATAGAAGGAAACTTGCTTTCCTGGCTTGTGAAAGAATTCCAGAGGGCTCTGATGGCCTCAAAGTGAGACTCACTTCAAGACCAGGTCAATGGCTATACCATAAAATGCCTCCTAAGTGGACTGAGACATCCCCCCCCCAAAAAAGGCGGGTCCATTTATAATGTCTCTGCCTGAGTAGTTTAAGTGGTCAAGAGACACTGTCAAGCCCAGCCACCACTACCACCACAGTAATTGAGGCTGTTTTTCTCTGTACTCCTCACTCCTGACTGGCTCCTACTGTCTGATGTCTGGGGTGGGTACAAGAGTACCTGTTGTTAATGGATCACCAGAGGGTCCTCTGAAGTTACCAGTAATAAATTCCTTCATATCCACATCTAAACTAGGATAATGGTAATCTCCAGTAAGTCACCCTACTTTCTAAATCACGTCAGATCTAAGTCATCCTCCACTGGGTCCAAAGATAACTCCTACAAAGCTCAGCATCCTTTCTGTTTAGAGTTATGCTGTTAGCTTGGCTAACTCTGCAGCTTGCTGCTTCAAGGCTTAGGATAACAGATCAGCCTCCAGAGTTGCAAAACCAGATTTTGTTTTGTTTTAAGACAGAGCCTGGCTCTGTAGTTGTGGCTGTCCTTGAACTCACAGAGATCCAACTGCCTCTGCCTCCCAGTGCTGGGATTAAAGGTGTGTGTCACCACACCTGTCTGGCACAGCAAAATTCTTAGAATAAATATCAATCAACATTTCTTCCTCCCTCTTTCCCCTCCCTCTCTCTCTTCCCATCCTATATGTTATATAATAATCTTTTTGTACACTGTGAAGATGTGTCTTTGCCAAGGCACCTTCTGATTGGTTTAATAAAAGAGCTGACTGGCCAATATTTAGGCAGGAAAAGGTTAGACAAGAAGCCAAAATGAGTGAATTCTGGGAAGAAGGAGGACAGAGTAACATGGAGTTGCAAGGTCAGATGCAGAGGATGCAGGAGATGAACATGCCATGCTGAAAAAGGTACTGCCACGTGGTAGAGTGTAGATAAGAAATATAGGTTAATTTGATATTTAAGAGCTAGTTAGTAATAAGCCTAAGCTATTGACTGAGCATTTATAATGATTGAAAGTCTCCATGTGGTTATTTGAGAGCCAATTGGTGGGACAGAGCTAATTGGTAGTCCCTATACCTATAGGTTCTGTTCCTCTGGAGAATGTGAACTAATGCAAATATTTTATTTCTTAACGTTATCCATTCCATTTAAATTTTTTGACACAGTGTCTCTGGTTATGTAGCCTAGGATGACCTTGAATTTCTGATCGTTAGGATCACAGATTTGTATTACCATACCCATTTTATGTGGTGCTGGGAATCTAATTTGGGGTCTCCTGCATGCTAGGCAAGCAAACTACCTGTTAAGGCACACCCCCAGTCCCTCATTCATGCACTGAAAAAAATTGAGCACTTACAATATATCAGACACTTTTTTGCTTGTTTTTGTTTCAAGACAGGGTCTCTGTAACCCAGGTTGGCCTCAAACCCTCAGCAATTCTGTGAACCTTCCAGGTGCTGGGATTAAAGGTGTTAGCCACCATAGCCAGTTCAGACACTTTTATGTTTTTGACAATTCTCAGTGGGGGAAAAAAAGCAAAGATTCTTGGCACTGTGAAACTTCTACTGCTGTGTGTAGAAGAGACAGTGGATTATAAAGATCATAGATCCAACGTGTCCGAAAGTGGTCAGGGCAAAGAGAGAGGGGGAAACAGTAGGATCTGGAGACAAGAGACACTGGGGAAGGGACACTGGACAAGGGCTTTCAGGACATAAAGGGTGTGGAAACCATAATCACCTTCAATGCTCAAGGGACCCAGGCTTAGGATGTACAGCAATTCTTCATGTGACGGTGTCTCCCTTAGATGGTCTCACCTTTCTGGCCCTCCACAGCCTGGCCATGCTTGAGTGCTCTCTCCAGCAGAACATTCCAGAGGACTTTCTCTCCGCTCTCCTGTGTATCAAGATGAAGCTACTCAGGGATTAATCCCAGCAGAAAGCTAACAACACCCCCAGAACTGAACAGTTCATAAGAAGAGTCAGTGTTTACTGGGCCCAGGGCCTGAGGTCACCCGACAAAGGATCCAGTTAGGTGCAGCCGAGCAAATGATGCCGTGAGGCAAGAAGAAGGAGATGACATTCTCTGGCCTGTCCCTTCCTGCCACTGTCCACTTTCCCTTTTGTCTTCCTTCTTGGCCATATCCAGCCAGCAGCCAGCTGGCCCGGGATTCTGGGACACCTAGATGGGCAAAAGTAGCTTCAGCAACTCAGAGAAGAAAGCATTTGAGAATGTATCAGAAGATAACTGTCCCCAAGACAGGGACAATTGGCACTCAACGTAGGGCACTAAAGACATTGTGCTAGTTAGTTTTTATCAGCTTGACACAAACCAGAGTCACCTGGGAGGAGGGACCCTCAGCTGAAGAATTGCCTCCATTAGAATGGTCTGAGGGCATATCTGTGGGTCTTTAGAAAAAAAAAACCTGATTGATGTGGGGGGACCCACAATGCCCATTGTGGGTATGAATATATATATATATATATATATATATATATATATATATATATATATATATCAGAGCAAGCCAGAAAGTACTGTTCCTCTGGTCTCAGCTTCAGTTCCTGCCTCCCAGTTCCTGCCTGACTTCTCAGTGATGGATTAGGACCTGGGAACTGTAAAGAGAAACCAAAAGCTCTTCTGCAAGCTGCTTTTGGCCAGCGTTCACTCACAACCACAGAAAGACAGACTAGGACCAGATCATTTTCATCCCACAGCCTAGAGTGACGCCTGGCTCAAAGCTTGATCCATTCACAGTTGGATGAATGAGCGAAGTTGAGAATGAATGAATGGATGGATGGATGACAGCTTCAGCCTTGCTCTTTGCTTAGTCCAGGGGCTGCCTTGCGGCATCACGCCGTTTCCTGCCAGTGCTGACGTGGCTTGGATCCAAGTGTTCACACCATTTTAAGGCCACACAGACGGTATAACTATAGAATCATAAGAGTGTTTCTACAAAGAGGCCAAATAAACCTGTCCAGTGAACTTGACACAAATCCTTCCAAGCAGTTTGCCAGGAAGGTATACACACACACACACACACACACACACACACACACACACATCCCTTCCCATGTCCCTGCCCTGACTAGCACCTTCCTCAGAAATGGACTCCGTTTTTGATGTTGCTGTCTGTCAGGCTTGAAGTCACTCAGCTCTTCACCTGGTTAACAACAGGTTGGCAGGCATTGTGAGGAGTGACAGAGAGGAGGAAGTGGAAAGCCACAACAGATCTGTTTGCTGGCTTCCCCGCAGGTGCAGCAGAGCAGAGATGTGACTCCCAGAAGGCCTGTTAGACTCCAGGTGCCACTTAGGTCTGCACTGGGGCATCCTGGATCACAGTGATGATTCACCTTCTCTAAGATACTACTTGACTCCTTGGAGTTTACAAAGTCTTTCAGAGGGACCCTAGAAAGTGATCAGTTTCCACTGAGGAAATGTGCCCCGTGGGTCAAGTGGAGCTAGTTCTGTCCCCAACACAGAGCAAAACAGTGCACGTGGGTGACCCTGGCACTGCCCAGCCTCGAGCTGGAAGCCCCAGGAGGAAAATCTGAACAGTATAGGTTCTGCCAACAAAACATCTCAGCAGAGACTAAAATATTCTCAAGCAGCTTCATGTGGCCCTGCTGTAGGCTGGGGCTCTGCTGTAGGTAGGAAAGGAGGAGGCCATAAACCTACCTGCATTCCCACAGCATCTGCAGAGAAGTAGTTGATGGGGGCAGATGTCTGCTTGCCAGAATAGGACTTGCTCAAAGTGTGGGAGGCTTGACACCAGCATTCCAGCTGCGCTGCTCAGCAGCTGGGTGGCTTCGGATGGGTCCTTACCTGGCCCTCCATTGCCTTCTTCAAAAGCTGGGAATTATGTGGTTTTTATTGGAGATACGATAAAGGTCACAGAAGTACCTTGAAGATGGATGAAGGTACCATATTACAACAGTAGGCATGAGAAGAGGCGCCTGTGATGTTTAGTTAATAATGTTTTAAAATCTTTTATTCCATTTAGCTATCCACTGGCGGAAGGGTGAGGGCAACAACACTTTTCAAAGGGATGTTTTCTGCTCTGAAATTAGAAGTCAGAAGGCACGGTTTTAATTTTCTTCTTGGTGGAAACGACGGCACCCTTGCTATTAGCAGTCTGGACAGAATCATGACCTTCTAACGGGGTGGTAGCGAAGAATGAAGGAATACGTTCGGTTGCCAAACCTTTCAAACAGGTTTTCCCAACTAAAGCACTGTCACCAGGAATCGGGAGCTAATGGAATTGTCTTCAAGAAGCACCTACAAGATTTAAGGTACCTTCCAGGAGGGCCACAGTCAATGCAGAAGCAAAGGCTGCTAGAGAGCCCCCAAAGGGAGGACGTGGGGTGGGGGTGGGGGTGGGAACAGAGGTTGCGTGAACTCCTGCAAAGGAACAGCTTTCTCCTGTTGAGAAAGAAAGCTAGAATTTTTACAGTCCCCCTGATGGCACATGAGCTGATCTGTGAACCAATCTAGGATCATAATTTACTTTTGGTTTATGGGATTTGTGAATTTTCGCATTTGTTTTAATTTGTAATTAAGTTTTCTCTACGAGGCACACCATATGCCACCATTAATTCTCTCTTGTTGATTTCTTAGGAGATACATGAGTGCATATTTTGATGTAATTTTGGAGGTCTTTTGAAAAGCAGATGACTACGTGCTGAGCCATATGGGGCTTTGTTATTTAAAACACAAATTATAAAGCTCGAGAAAGCAAAATGGAAAAAAAAAACTGTTAACGGGGAAAAGATTGGGGAAAACTGATTTCAAGCGCACGGACTGTCCACTTTTCCCCTTAATATTCTGAAATCTCCGAGGATCCCGCGATGTCTCTTACCTTCTGTGAGCGCACTCTATACCACAGGTGCACGGAGCAAACCTCCCCGGCCACGTTTGTGCTTTACACCCGGGCTGCAGATTCTAGCATCTGCCTTCTGGGAGTTCGGCTGAAGCCAGCGTCTTTCTTTGCACACCCAGGCTTTGGCACTGAACTCGTTTTTCTCCGCACCCACGGCGGCTCGGCTTTCCCACTAGTGCTTTCCCGGGGCTCCCCCTCCCCGGCCGCCCCACAGTACGTGCAGGCTGCAGAGCGGGCCGCGGCCCGGACGGCGAGCGCTAGGACCCAGCAGGACTCCGGGCCCGGGTGGGAGCCGAGCCGCCGACCCCGGGCGGGCGCCGGGCGCTGGAGCCGGGTGTTCCGGCCGCGGTCGGTGCAGCTCGGCTGGGAGACGGCGCGACCCGGCGGCGGGGCCCCCCGCGAGTCCAGCGCCGCCGCAGCCCCCCAATGCAGCCGCGAGAAGCAGCGGGGGGGCAGGCGATCGAAGGTAACGAAAATGCGGCTCGCTGGCTGCCTAGCGAGCCTCTGCCCGGGTTAGCATTGTCACCCCGAGCCTCCTGCCCAGCCTGCCCGCATTTGGGGGGCACCCTTGGCTTTTTAGCTGAAGGTGTCCGCCCCCATCTGTGCACCTAGTTTCGGATTGATTTATAACATGCAGCCCAGAATGGGAAGGATCCAGGGATGGCGAGTTGCTTATTTCCATTAGTTTTTGTCTCAGAAGTAAGTTCATTAAAAAAAAAAAGAAGAAAGAAAGAAAAAGAAAGAAAAGTTTCCTCCCCCCCCCGGAATTTGTAGATAACTGGTTTTACATTTTTATTTTAAAAATTGCAGACAATGGATATTTATAAAAATTACCGAATAATTGATGTAATTCTGTTAATGACTTCGGAGGGTGGCGGCTTTGGAGGGGTCCTCAGGCATGACTTGTATTTTCAAGGAACTAACGTGTTAAATGTGGAGTTTGGCTGGGGCAGAGTTACCACATCGCCGTCGTAACTGTTTTGCTATCAATTATAAACAGAGTGTCGGATCTGTGGGCAGTTGAAACCTCTTTTTCAAATACCGGAGCTGTATATCCCGGTGTGACATGGTCAAACCAGAGTATCCGTTGAAGGAAGCAGGAATGTTTCTGGTTTTGGAGAAAAACGTTGCTTTGAGGAGAAAAACCCAGATTCCTAGCCTGGGAGACTATTTTTCATGCTTTGTTTATAGTCTGGGAATGACATTTGGGGAAGGGGAACGCGGTCTTTCTTGGGAGCTTTTAATCGTGGGGGTTATTAATTTATTTAATTTATTAGTTTCAATTGGTTGGGCTCCGGGAGCCTTCCGTCACCAGGTTGTGCTAGCGTCGGGACACATGATTGCGAAGACGAAACTGCCAGCTCCGAAAGGACTGGACTCGGCTGGTGGAAGCTCCCCCGTGGCGCTGTCGTAGGCTGGGTGCTACTGGCTCATTGAGGAAAAAGGGAATGGCTTTCCGAGCTGAGGAAGACATCAGTATTTCCCTTTTGTTCCCTGTTTTTCCATTGATCGCCGGCTCTGCCCTAGCCAGGCTGAGCAGCTCTGAGGGTGCAGAGCCCTGAAGACAGCACGAATGTCTGGAGCCCGCTCTAACTCTCACACTGATTGGTCAGTTAGATGGAGACTTAGGAAAACAGTCACCCGAAACCCTCTTTTAAGACCTCGCTGTAATTTCTGATCTGCCTTCTTCTGCCTGGGTTTCTGCGAGATTGCTTTTTGATCTGGTTGCATCTGGCTCGCTCGAGGTGTCTTTATGTTTAATTTTTTTTGTTGTTGTTTCTATCCAGATAAAGTAGGCCATTTTGGGTGACAAATTTCCTCGCAGATGTCAGCTTCTAGCTGGCACTGATAGATGGGGGACTTCACAATACAGTCTCAATGGTTTCTGTTCCTAAGTTGTAGAAGGCAAAGTTGTTCAACTTGGTATTAATTTTTCCTAATTTCTTTTTCATCTGAGCATTTAAATAGCAACCCCAGCAGATGGATGCTTAACTGTATCATTACTTTGATAATTTAAGTGCCTTGCGAATTAGCATGTTTCTTGAGCTAAATCTGTCTTTAGACAGTGAAAGAGAAAACAGACAATGAAGAGCAAGCAATCATGACCCGCTTGCACACTGCTGCCAGAAACCCTGGCATCTGTTTGGAGCAGAGCACATTCACATCCAAGGAAAAGGGTGGTTTGTCTTTCCACAGGAGACTGAATTAGTGCCCATGATGACAGGGGATCACTCTAAGACAGTGAGACCCCCGTGGACGTCTTCATTTGAGCCTTAAAGTAGCTCATTAAAGAAGCTGGGCTCCAGAAGTTAACTGTATAAACACTTTTCTGATTGGTTTAAACATTTAGACACAGGAAGTAGATGGTGTCTAGTAACCCAGGGATGGAGACACGGTTGTCATAGAAACTGAGAAGTGTCACCCCACCCCACCCCCACCACATATGCATTTACTACCATGACCACACTTAAAAAAAAACAACAAGGACAATAACAAAAACCTCTGCATATCATCACAGATGCTCCAAGAACATGCTGGCTTCTGTGAGCCTCCCCCCAACATCTGTTGAAACCTGAGACCATGCCTGTCAAACCAAGGTCATTTTACAACATCCACCAAACCGCGCTCTCCTGAATTTCATAACTGTATTTTTATTGAAAATAGTTCAGGGGAAAGCCTGAAAGCCAGGATGTGCGTTCATGCTTACTTAGCATTTTGCAGCCTCTGAGTTGTGCAAGGGGAAGGCTGAAAAGAATACATTTGAGCCATTAATTGTGGAATTGTGCGTCTACTATCAGATGTGTATATTTACTGCTAGAACAAGTCTTTTTAGAGACTTTGAGACCAGAGCGCTGCCTATGGAGGAAGGGTCATCTGGGGAAGGCATAATGAAGTCTTTTCCTGCTTGCAAGCGGGTTCCAGGTTGAGCTGAGGCATTTGATCCTGAAGGTCTGTGGTGTTTTGAACAGATTCTCTCGGGCTGCCTGAGCAGAAACACAGACCGCCTGGTGCTGGGGGGGGGGGGGGGGGGGGACAAAGGGCGGGGTGTGCTTGGTAGCTGAGCAGGGAGAGGAAGCACTCCTAAGTGGCCCAGGGACTGTTTCCAGGCTGCCAAGATGACTGCCCAGTTGATTTAGAAACATTTCCTCTCTTGTGAATGGAGAATGGTGCTTTCATTTTGAGGCTATTTTAGAGGTGTCTCCCCCCCACCCCCGCCACCACCCCAAGCCACCAGCACCTAAGTCAGCTAAATCTGACTCATGGTGAGGAATACCAAGGAGAGAGGTTTAGCCCCCTCCCCATACCCCCATTTTGTTTATTTGCTGCGTGGAAAATAACCACGCGTGTGTCTCCCAAATTTTGACTTTGAAGCTCTCCAGTAAAACTTGTCAGTGTAAAAATCAACACGTTTGCTAGACTTTGACTCATCTTGTGGATGGCAATCTTGAAATTGTAAGGGTTTTCTTTTTTAAAGATTTATTTTTATTATGATTAGTTATGTGTATGTGTTTTCTGCATGTGGGTATGGGCACATGAGTGACCATGCCCAGCAAGACCAGAGGGATCCTTTGGGGTTGGTGTTACAGACTGTTGTGAGTCACCTGACGTGGGCGCTGGGGATATAACCCAGGTCCTTTGGGAGAGATCTTTTGACTACTGGGCCATCTCTCCAGACCCCTAAATTTTACGTTCTTTATATCTGTGTAGAAGTAACTTCCCTCCGTACATGGTGTATTTAGCGCTGCACTGGGCTTTCTTAAAACAGTTTGGTCCTTCTAAAAAAAAAGGAAAATCGCATCTTCCTTGCGTTCCCTCAACTGATTGCCTCAAGGACAGGGCGAGACAGAAGAGCTCCTAAATGTCTTTTAATGCTTATTTGATACCCTGTGTCGATGGGGTAGCAAGCAGCTTAGAGCCATGTAGTGTCTATCGCTTGATTTCGGGTATATTTTCGTGATCCCACACTATCAAATAGTTAGTTCTCCAGGATAGCAAGTTTAGTTTAATGGCACAACTGCTCTCTCTCAGCCAAGGATTTCCTGTTGAGAACTTTCTTATCTGCAAGTAGGGCAAGCGGCCATTGGCAGGAAACCTGTCAGTTGCTTGTTTTTACAAACTGAAGGAAATGAATGAGACTTGCTGGTTTCTAGAATTTGCCCCCATTCTCCACAGCCTGCCCTGAAGCTTGCTCGGAACACCTCAAAGAAGGTGACTTTAGGGTCGCACAATGAATTCGCTTCAGTTGTTGATACGTCTGTGAAATTCTTTTTTGACTTTAGAATTGGAAAAAAAAATTAATCCTTCCAGGGTCATGTAAGGCTTATTTCACCAATACAAATGAACACGCTGTTCAATAATGTCCCAACTCATTTTCAGATGTCAGGAAGTCACTCACGTAATCACTGAAGCTGGCATTTTTTTGATGGCTGTGCCAAATTTTTAACAGTCATTCCAGAATACCAACCAAATGCCAGTCTTAATTTTGGATTAGTGCAGAGAGGTAAAGGAGAGAGAGAGAGAGAGAGAGAGAGAGAGAGAGAGAGAGAGAGAGAGCGTTACACTTCCCTTCTTGCTTGTGAGGGGAAAATGGTTCATGAAGAAGCCAGGTATGTGCCAACCTCACGGTAGCAGAGAGCCAAAGCTTGGGGTGGGTCTGTGAAAGGCACGTGGGAGAAAAACACACCAGAGCTTTGAAAGCATTAACTATCTGAGAGAATTATTTGTTTATTTTTTTCGACATTGGCTATGCGTGTGTTTAATTGTTTCATGCGTGTCTTTAATTGATTCTATTCGTGGATATTTCCAAATTCTGGAAAGGTGGGAGGAAGGGCCAGCCTCTTTAGCGGCTGTAAGGATACAGACGGCCCTCCCCTAAGAGAACCATGTATTGGAATGGGCCTCACATTTTCGTACACCATTTCTCTTTTATATTTAGCGCCAAGTAGAATCTTATGCAAGGCCCTCACACCTGAGTGGAATCAAAGCCGAGCTGGCTACTCTCGAGGCACCAGGAGCCCAGGGGTGGTGACTGCCCTCTAGGCAGCACCTGGAGCTAGCCCTAGAACCCAGAAGTCTGCCCACATAGTTGCAAACCTACTGCTTTTATTCCCAAATATTCCCCTAAGGAGGCCCGAGAATTGCCTTTGGGATCCTGCGTCAGCTCAGCCAAAGAGAACTTTTGCCTTGACAATTTTAGAGGACCCTTGTTTGCAGGGCGAGGAGGGAAGAAGGTAGTGATTAGTTATGCCTTACAACCCTGAGAAACTACCAGGGATGCAGAGAAAGGTCTGACCCG